CTCATCTTTGAACTTTATGCTGCCACAAAGCCAGATGTATTGGACCGAGAGGCACACCAGGAGTCAGACTTTACCCAACTTCCAGCCTGAGGGGAAAGCTAACTAGTATTTACACGAACGATGGTTCAGTCACCAGACATTTTTATTCACAGCCTATCCCAGAATAGAGTTGCGGCTTTCTGGTCAATTTGCTATTACAGGATGAGCCAGGAGATGAATTCATACCAAGCCTGTAAAGCAGGGGGCACAGGGAAAGAAAGGACTTCCTTGTGTTAGTTTGAGCAGCAGGGTCATGAATTCTAAAATACAACTGGAAAATCTATAAAGCCATCATTTTGGCTTTTTAATAAATGTCTAGTCTTTTGTAATATTTTCAAAATGAAAAGTAATGCATTTATGAATTTCCTGGCACGTTTTGCAGACAGCAAACAATTTCCTTTGCTGCCTAGATGCCCTTCGGACAGGGATTAGAAGGCAGGCGACTGACAGAGGCCTGACTGAGCTGTGGGCCCTCTGGGGCCCTGCTCATCCAGGCCTGCACAGCCCTCATCCTCATATCCACTCTGCATCACCAGGCAATAACAGCCTTTATTAAAAGCGCATTGCAGCAGTGTCTGTCTATACAACTTACTTTTAGATTGGCCATAATGTGGCATGTAGAAAGGGTCTGGTGGTTAGGGGCTATAATATCCTGTTTCTGGAAAGGTTTACTTTGCATTTTAACAAGCATGAATAAAGAAGGACATTCCAGAAATGGCTACCGTCTGTTTTGCTCTTGCCTGTGGGGAGCAAAAGCTCTGACCATAGCCATTGCATGCCATCAGAGCGTGGCCGGGCTCACCTCTGATTTTACGTAGCTTTAATAGCAGTAAGTTCGCCGCTGGATGTGAAGATGGTTATAGTTTGATAGCAGTAGATGGTAAAATCCTATAAAAAACATATACATATATATATATAAAGATCAGTAATATGCATTCTGAACACATGGTAGTAATTTGACAGACAGGATGTCAACACACTATCTCCCATCATTAAATCTCAAGGTGAGCTCCACAGTGTTTGGCAAACCCTAAAATATGAGCACCTTTGCTCTATCAGAACATTTTCCACACCATTGTGTATTTTCCAGCGTTTTCTGACTGTCTCAAGAATTATGCATGAGGTAGAAAGGGAGGCATGTGGGGAGGGAAGAGAAATGCCTCTGTTGTCAGGATGGGCCTTGCTATTAGGTGTGTGACCCTGAAAGTGCACCCCTTTTAGCGAAACAAGCAATGGATCTCATACTGGATACCACTATTATGCAGTAATTTGTATGCATCCTCTTGTCTCATTTCCATTTATTAAAGCACACAGCTCCCTGCCCAGTTTCTCAAACTGGTCATTGAAAGTAACACTGATCCAAACCGGAGGTTTATGTACCATTTTCAAGCAGTTATGTAGTGGCAGAGAAAACAACCGCAGAGTTAAAGTGAGATAACCCCTCCCCAAACCAGCCTTCGCCCTCGAATACCCAGGTCTCTGTGTCCAAACAGACGGGAGACAATGACTGGTGGCTGCCCAGGTGGCCCCAGCCCCAGCCCCAGCCTTCTCCTTCTCAGCCTCCTAGGCTCACAGACAGGGATTTCCTCCTGCGATGAGAGCCAAGCCGTCACAGCCCAGCGATCAAGGGCCCGCCATCTGTGACTGAAGCAGATTTACAGCAGGAGCTAATCCACACTGTCAGCTACGTTTGTTTTCCATCTCTGCCTCCACCACGCACATACATAAACTCACTGCAAACTCTCTACAAGTGAGAAACACTCCCTTTTTACCCTTATAAAACACTCTTCTGAATCTCTTCCATCCACGCACAGACCTAAAGCAAACACTAACCCCTTGCACAGAAGGACATTTACCCATCAGCTCAATTTAATTTTGCCCCTATTAAAAGGCATGATCTCATTTTGCTCTATGCTTAAAAATAATTTTAGTTGTTAAAAATGAGAAACCTAAATGTGTCACTGAGTTACATGCCCCGGTGAACATCATTCATAAGAAATAGGGTCATCATATCTCTCCAACACAAGCTCCCCAAATTCCTCTGCATCCGTTTGGGAGTTTCCTCTGTGTATTAGCTTCTCCTGGACACTTGTACAACCTGATTCTTTACACTGACAGCTGTCAACAATCACTCTAAACACCTACAAACCACTCTTGGTTTCACCTGTTTCTCTGTAGTATCATAAGATATATTTGCTGTTATGACTCTCTTCATAACTGAACACTTGATGGGAATTTTAAACATCTTCAGTTTTCAGTTTCATCCTTGTATCTTTTCTATTTTATCTTTATGTAAATATGCCAGCTGCTATTCTTAAAAAAAAGAAAGTAGTGCACTGGTTCAAGTCAGTGCTGAGCTTTGTTCTCTGCACACAGGGCAGCTGTGTGGGGTTGGGGTCCCTCTGAGACCTTCTTTGTTTCGCCATACATAAAGGGTTAAAGAAGACAAATGGAGGTGGGGCCACAGAGCAAAATGCCTAAGCAGCACATTTATAGTATGGGCAAGAATTAAAACAATGCAGGCTTTTTATCCCCGTGTTAGTCTAATTAAAAAGAAACCTAATTTCTGCTGCCCTTGCTCTCCTTGGACATTCAGCCCGGAGGAGATTTGTGGCGATAAATCCCAGCAGTCAGTGTTTGCTGCATCCTCATAAAGAACATGGATATGCAAAGTTGTAAAACACTCCAGATCACATGTGAGGGCAGCCTAAATTTACTGCACTGCTGTCATAGCAACTTAACAGGCAACTTCAACATAATTAGCCAAAAGAAATTATTATGTAAGAGTTGTGCCAGACTACCATTGCATCCCACCTTTGTGTAACGCTGACATGTCTTTGATCACAGAACTGAGGGATTTTTTGCTTTGTTTGAAAGGGGGGAGGTGGGACAAATTTCATATGTTCTGGCAACAAACCCAGAAACGCAACAAGCCCAGCACCTAACCCAGCAGAGAAAGCCCTCGCAGGATCACAGAACAGCAGCAGGCGAGGGAATTACTGTCTAGGTGACCCAGAAATCCAGGGGCAACTTTGTTTTAACAAACCAGGGAATGTTCCACCACTTTAGCAAGTATGCCTCAACCACAAAAAGAGCCCTGTGCCACAGAAGAGCTAAAGAAGAGGAAATTAAATATTACACTGGGAATGGCTCAATCCTAGCTGAGAGGTGGGGCTGGCGGTCCAGCACAGCTGATGCTTTTGCGGTGTGAAACGGCAGAAGTGAGGGGTGTGGAGTCAGCAATTTTAGAGTTAACGATTATAGACAAAGAGCTCTGATCATTAAAGTAGTAATGTGATCAAGATGCTGAGTTTTTACACACTGCCTTCCACCTAAAAGATCTCGTTTGTACATGGTTAGCTGTCAAGGAATAGAACGAGTAACATCCCACAAGCTAAACAACAATACTACACAACGTTAGAGCCTAAATAATAACAAGAAATGGCATTAACGTCCATCCCGATAATCAAGCTTCATCGTCACCAAAACACACTCTACAACTTTTTAAAAAACTTGTTCTTGTTTTTAAATTCTTGAATCTGTTAAATACCAGTGGTCTTTTTGAGTAAGTGAGAGTTGCTGTAATTTGATGAAGCTCTGCAAGGCAGCAACCACTGCTGACGTGTGTGTACATGTAATGATACCGTGCACACGCAGCCCCGCTGCAGGGACACTTTGCCTAACCTAAGATCCTTCATCCTGGCACAAACACGGGCATCGGAAACATGAAAGCTTAAAAGAGGCGAAGAAAAAAAAAAACGAATCATAAACACTGCATCTACTGAAAAACAGAAAACACATTTATTTGCAAAGAGCAAAACAACTCCTCCTGTCTGGAAAAAAGAAGAAGAAAAAAGATCCCAACCCCCCACCCCTTTTAACCTAAATGGCCCTTCCTCTTGCCTTGCATGTTCGCTTGTCCACTGTACTGTAGTCATTAACATATTTGGAGTGCAGCGAGCAGAAAGCTTAATTGTCCCTAATTGCTCGGCTAAATATGTTCTCTAATGATTTGCTTCAGATCTGTGACTGCCTTTTGCGCAATTTCCCGGCTGCTGGCTTCATTATCCCTGCCTCCTTGGAACAAAGCGTCTTCACAGGCTGGCCTTTTTTTTTTCCTCCTACATAACACAGACAGCGAGTATGTGTGCGAGGGAAGTAATGGTTCCCTCTTGGAAGGACACACAATAGAGCCCCTTTGTCAGGGCACAGGAGTTAAAGTGATTAGAAAACCAAATCTCTACTAAGAAAGAGTGTTAATTGACCACAGCTCACTCTTCCTAATCAGTCCATAATAAATGGGCAATTGAGGCACTTTGTTTCAGCCATGCAACTGTTGTTGTGGCGGAGTCTGTGTTTTTTTGGGGGGGGTGTTTTTCTTCTTGTTGCATCTGCTCCTGTTGTTCAGCTCCTCCTGCCTTCGCCCTAATGCTTTGCCTCAATGTGTCTTTAATGGCTTCTGTTCTCGCTGCACAACGTTGGCTTAGTAGAAACATTTTACGTAAAGCATAGTAGATCACAACTACAACGGAAGACTAAAGTTGTACTGGCATCTATTGTTGAGTATTGTGTCACACAGTTCTGTATGCGTAAAAAAGTCTAAACGTACAAACAAGTGTAGTGCCCATGCATATAAGTTATGGCTGAGCGTCTTCATCATTTCAGAGTAAACTAAGAGCAAATGAAACAAAAAGGCAAACAAAAAAAAAGTCATTTAATTTGGAAACATATCTATTAATGGTCACATTTAGTCTATGAGGAATTTTGCGTGAAAGTGGGAAGCCTTTGAACAATTGTGAATGCAAATTGTTAATGACTTAGGCAAATAAAGCTTCTCAATTGAGCATGTGAATGCGTAATTGTGTGCAAGACACAGATGTGTAGGCAAAGACATCAAGAAAGTAAGAAAAAAAAGTACCATAAAGAGACACTAAAAGCAAGCCCCAGGGGCGTGTTCTGACCTGTATCTGAAGAAGGGCATTTGCGGATGGTAAAGATGGAGCTGAGGTCCTCCTCCTCCTCTGGCAGGCCCTTCTGCAAGCGCTGAAGCTTCCTGAGGCTCTCACTGCGTTGGTGCTTCATAGAGCGCACATGCTGGATCAGGTTGAGCTTGGCCTTGGTCGAGTAGTTGCACAGCACACAATGGTAGTAGCAGGCATCACCCTCCACCGCGTTTTCGTGCTGCTGCAGGTGCTGTGGGAGGCGAACGAGCGAGAGAGAGGGGAAAGATAGAGATGGAAAGGAACACAGGGAAAGAGAGAGATCGAGAGGAAAAGAGAGAGAGAAAGAAGTTATTGTAGATGGCAGATAGCTGGCTAGGCACCACCGACTCACTTTCACTCACACAGTTGGCAAATGAACAAATCAATTCCCAATCACAGCCCTGTTGTTTAACATCCAGACCTCTTCCACTTCAGGACAACTGTTTGGACTGCACACTTGTCTGCGTGAGTGTCTGTATCAGTGGGCTAAAAGGACAGGAGAGGCCTGGGAGGCACGCAAATCTCAGGGGCCCAAGGGCGGGCAGGAATCGCATCAGCCACCCTTCAGAAGCCGCGGGTCTACAGCCTCACAGACGGAAGGAAGCATTGATCCCCTTCACTCAACAGAAGCTTCCCGTCTCTGAAAAGGAAACTCCAAACATCTGCCTGTTTCACGCATGGGATACTAAATATTGATCATGGTGAGTTAAATCCTCACTCTCTCATAGAAAAAGAGAGGCAAAGCCAGCCGGTGGTGAGGCAGGAGGGGGACTGAGGGAAAATGGAACATTCCACAACAGGACGACAACCTTCAGAGGACAGGAAATCAGCATCAGTATTGACCTGTCAACCCCAGCACTTCCTCCAAGGCTCCACAGCACGCCTGGTCCAGCTTTCACCCACTCTCCACAGAGTCACAACATGCACAACACCCTATAGTGACACCATGCCACAACAATCTCTTGTCACACCACCAGGCTCCAGTCTAATTACCTCCTGCATGGCTCAATCAATGATGCAATGCCAACACAATATGTCTGAACCTGGTGCGAGCAACAGAGTTATTGACCATTATCCTAAAGCATCACACTGATTGTTGCTGGATGTTTACAATAAAAGCCCCAGACCGGGCATGGCTACTTGTGTCATGCCTGTCACGCGCTGTTTCTTATATCAAACTCTGCAGTCTCGCTGTGGATTTCTGTGGCTGCAATCGATGTCAATCACCAAAAGTTTTCCTCTTTTTCCTCTGATCTTATTGGCGCCTGTGTCTCCTGTGAGGCATGCTGAGAGAGTACAACTAAATAATTGTAAAATGCAGAGTGTCTTATGCAGAGAGATTGTGGATGAATATATACCTTTTAGTACATACAGTACAAGTGAAGCAGCTGTTCAACGAAGGCCAAAATAAGGATGAAACACTGCTGGATACACTGAAAGGTATTTCTGCTAATTTTTAAAGCTATAATATGCTTCAATTGTCATTTACTTTGTAAACACAACACTCCCTTGAATCTAACATTATATATATATATATATATATTTTAAAGAAGATCCTGTACATTGTTTCTTTAACCAGGCAAAATGCACTGAAGAAAATTAACCTTGACGTTCACCTATACCATTTTTATACATTCAAACAGTATTATCTTCTATGTGTCAGTTTCCCTTTATAAACCATTCATCAAGAAGACACTGAACTATCCTCTCCTGCACTAGACGGCCTGTTTGGCTGGCTGGAAGACATAAAAGCAATGGAAACATTACACATTTAACCACATTACTTCTAAATCAGGTGTTGACAGGCTGGCAAAAAAAAAGTCATAACAATATTATGCCTCCCTAAAAAGCTCTTGTCCCTTTCTCCTAATGTTTAATTTTCTGGCAATATTCTAATATTGCTATGGGGTTTTCTGAGCTATTGTGTTTCATTCTCTTTGGCTTCATATTTCTCACTTCTACACCTAAAATGTGCATTAAGACACTGCTTCCAGGAAAAGGAATAGGAGGTTTTTTTTCCTCTTTGTGAGCCCCAAGGCTCAGTGTAATAGAGTTATTAGGTGATTGTAAAAAGCTCTGTGTGCTCTCCTTTCTCGCCTCGTTTTAAGCCATCCATGATGTCATGAATAGGTGTTGCTGGATATTGGGGGG